GCGCCTGCCGCCTCGCCCCTCGCTGCCGCCGCCGCCGCCGCCGCCGCCGCTGCTCTCGAGGGGGCGGACACGACCTCGTCTACCGGGCCCGGGACACCAGAGGCCAGTGCTATCTCGCTGGTGCCAGAGGGAGCGGCGCGGGAGAGCCTGGTGGCTCTGGTCAGCACCTCGGACAGGGACTCGGGCGCCAACGGGCAGGTGCGCTGCGCCCTCTACGGGCACGAGCACTTCCGGCTACAGCCAGCTTACGCGGGCAGCTACCTGGTGGTGACCGCTGCATCCTTGGACCGTGAGCGAATCGCTGAGTACAACCTGACACTGGTGGCCGAGGACCGCGGCGCGCCCCCACTACGCACCGTGAGGCCCTACACGGTGCGCGTGGGAGACGAGAACGACAACGCGCCGCTCTTCACGCAGCGGGTCTACGAGGTGTCTGTGCGCGAGAACAACCCGCCTGGCGCCTACTTGGCTACGGTGGCTGCCCGGGACCCGGACCTGGGCCGTAACGGCCAGGTCACCTACCGGCTGCTGGAGGCTGAGGTAGGCCGCGCTGGGGGCGCCGTGTCCACCTACGTCTCAGTGGACCCGGCTACCGGGGCCATCTATGCGCTGCGCAGCTTCGACTACGAGACGCTGCGCCAGCTCGACGTGCGCATCCAAGCGAGCGACGGCGGCGTCCCTCAGCTCTCCAGCAGCGCCCTGGTGCAAGTGCGGGTGCTGGACCAGAACGACCACGCGCCAGTCCTGGTGCATCCGGCGCCGGCCAACGGCTCCCTGGAAGTGGCAGTCCCAGGGCGCACTGCAAGGGACACGGCCGTGGCGCGTGTGCAAGCTCGGGACGCGGACGAGGGTGCTAATGGGGAGCTGGCTTTCGACCTCCTGCAGCAGGAGCCACGAGAAGCCTTCGCCATCGGCCGCCGCACGGGGGAGATCGTGCTCACCAGCGATCTGTCCCAGGAACCGCCTGGCCGCGTGTTCCGGGCGCTGCTGGTCATATCCGACGGCGGCCGTCCCCCGCTCTCTACCACTGCC